CCTTACTGATCAAGTATTTATTCCGATGATGTGATAGTAAGTGCATTATTTAGTTGGGTTCGGTAAAGAGGTTAAGATCAATGCATATTAAAGCAAAGGTAAGGACAAGGAGGAGAAACCAAAATTTACAAAAGAACGAAGATTTCTTACTTGTGCATATTTGTATATGGAGCGAATCCGTTAGATCATTATATATATAGATATATATATATATATATATATATATTTTTTTTTTTACACATATTTTTATATGGTTTAGTCTAGAATGTATTTTAAAGATCTGAACCGCTTAACTTTTAGAACATAATCCGAAAATCATTTTTTGTAAAAAATTAGATAAATTCAAAATTATTAAGACATTTGTTTGTAGTGAAGAAAATGGACGAATTTATTTCTACAAAGAAACCCCAAACCCTTAATCCAACGGTCATATGGTTTTACAATTCACAGTTGGGTGATTTTTTGTAAACATCATTTTTGTGAGAATATCTAAAAAATAGACGGTTTAGATCATTGAAATACATCAGAAAGTGGATCCCAAAAAAAACGTGTGTCAAAGTTATGTCACATATGGTCCTATATATATATATATATGGTTAGAAACTTAGAATGCAATGCAAAAAGGACATGCATATGCATCATATTAACACAAGAAGAACTTACATAGAATAAGTTGAAAATCAGATTACGTATAACAATTGAACAAATTGACAAATAGACTATAAATGAATGTAATTTTATTAACTGAAGATAAAGAATGTCATGAAGTCTACAAACCAAAGGATTACATTCTGATCAACTAATTGTCACAATATAATCACAAGCTATATTTATGCAGATCTAAGCCTAAGAAACCATAATCCGTAAAATATCAAATACCCAAACAATAGAATAAACCTTAAGTACTAATATTTTTCAACCGAATATGTTTATTGTCATCGTGGCGTTCGAGTCCAACAATACAATATTATGTGTAAGTTTTTCTAAAAAAATAATGTTATCCACACACTCATTTTTATTTTTCACACACTTATCGGCCATCAAATCAGATGAATTAAAGAAGATTAATGATAAAAATTAATATTGTAAGAGTAAAAATAAACGTGTGAATATCACTCTTCTTTCTTTACATGAACATTGTATTATTGAATTAAAATGTAGAGGAAATCAAAAGGGTTGGCTTTCTTCTTCACAGTTTGATAAGATGAAAGTACGTGGCGAGGACTTAAATGTTGGGTGGTGAGGACTAAGGAGTAGCAGCAGGCAGCTGGAGCTAATTACTTTCGATCGCTTACGGCCCGACTCCTGACCTATCCTGTTTCTTGGTCTCCTATTGTCATCCTGCAATATCTTTTAACACGTCATGGTTATCCACGTACATGCTTATTTTAATCATTAATGAAATGGTCCTGCTAATTTTTTTAACCCTAGATAGTCGGGGTAAAAATCGAAAAAATGAAGAAAATAAATTACTGTTGGAAAAAAAATTACTGTGAGCTATATTTTACAATAAGAAAGACGAGGGGCTTAAATTTAGAATGCAATGGGTTTAAGAGGAGAATCCTAACCCTAGTAATTGTGATGATTCTTAAAAAAATAAGGGCTCAAATCCTAGTAAATGCAATGACTGTGTAGTTAAGATATTATCTTGTTGGAAGTTGAAAGAGGATGTGATGAATGTAAACTCATAAGAGTTGGGGGGGAAATGATAGGGGAAGGAGGGCTGCTTGTATAGTAATTCTCCGGTAAGAGCAACTACACTCCTATAAATTGTTCTAACCTATTACGTGATTGAATTCCCCAACCCCTTCAAAATCTACTCCAGCCCAAGTCAATTGCCCCACCTATTGGGTGGGCCCATCTCCCACTGAGCAAGTCGGACGAGAACTTGCCTAAGGCGATCTGACGTCAGCCATAGTTTTTTTTTTTTTTTTTTTTTGCGTCATGCATGTGGCCTTCAAGCACGAGTGGGGGAGAGTGACCGACCCAAAAGTGTCGGTGGGTTGTTGGATTTCTTAGATCCGACAGTCTACATTAGTCTTCCTTTTTTAATTTAGAAAAAATAAAACAAAAGAAAAACGTCTGAAAAAGGGTTGAGCCCACGTAGCTAAACCTGGGGGTGTTGGATTGCGAAAAATTGTAATCCAATGGTTTATATTATTCATTTAGAAAGAAAAAAAATATAAGAAAACACAGAAAAATGAAAAAAAAATTAAGAGAATTTGAAATTAAAAATATTATTTAGTTTTTTAATGGTAATTGTCTGGACAATTCATTTTCGAGAGATGCCATCGGACAATTACTGCTCACTAAGATAATAATTGTCAATTGCTCACTAGCCTAGGCTATTATCGCCTTAAGGAGTGGAGTTGCTCTATGGTTAAGCAATATATATAGACAATTTATTTTCGAGAGATACCTTCGGACAATTACTGCTCACTAAGATAATAATTGTCAATTGCTCACTAGCCTAGGCTATTATCGCCTTAAGGAGTGGAGTTGCTCTATGGTTAAGCAATATATATAGACAATTCATTTTCGAGAGATGCCTTCGGACAATTACTGCTCACTAAGATAATAATTGTCAATTGCTCACTAGCCTAGGCTATTATCGCCTTAAGGAGTGGAGTTGCTCTATGGTTAAGCAATATATATAGACAATTCATTTTCGAGAGATGCCTTCGGACAATTACTGCTCACTAAGATAATAATTGTCAATTGCTCACTAGCCTAGGCTATTATCGCCTTAAGGAGTGGAGTTGCTCTATGGTTAAGCAATATGTATATATATGTATATATGTATATATTGTACCAGTAAAGGCCAACACCACCCTCTTAACAAATTTGACAAAGACAATCCACGTTGCCTAGGGCTAGGGTTTGGTTATTGTTATCGTTTCTGAAATAGCAAAATATTATTAAGACCAAGTGCTCCTACGATTAACGTTGAAAGATATCCTATAAGCCTTTTAGGGCCTCGAGCAGAATAGTACATCATTGCTCAATCTCATAGATCAAGCTTAAAAAGTTTGAGTTAATCTTTACCCAAAACTGCGAAACATGACAGCATGAATAAGTATATATGCAAAAACAAATACACGGTTCATCATAAAGATGCTACTTGTTATCAAAACCGTTGATTACACATATGGATGACTAAATGATCGTCAAATTAAATATTTTTTTGCAGATATATGAATTTTAGATCATGATAAAAAGAATGAACAGTTCCGATTATGATGTTCGGATGATAAAAGTTCATTAATTGTAAGTGGAGACAAGTAATTAAGTCCATGGGACACAAGCATTATCCTATATTATTATTGGAGTTTTAACAAAACACTCCCGGTACTGTGCATTTTTAACGAAAAACCACATTTTTACCCTTCCTGATACTACACTTTTATTTGTCATTTTTCATTAAAACTAAAGTTTTTGAGAACTTTTCGTTAGTTTTCCTTATTATATAAGAGGTTGATTGTGGGCAAAGTATTTAATTTCTAACAAGTCATCCACCCTTTACATGTACAGATTGGATGAGAAAATTTAACACTACTAAGGATTCAAAATGATGGAATTTGAAATTAAAAAAATTTTGTTTTCTATTTGTGATTTTGTTTTTTCGTTTAGCTAGCTTAAAAGAACAATGAAATTCAAATAACGAATGTAATGTGTATATCTAGAGTCACTAATATAAAAATAAGAGAAATAGTCAAGAAATGTGATTATGGTGGTGGTGGTCACCATGATGATGGTGGTGGGTGGCGGCGATGGTAATGTTGGTGGGTGGAGGTGGCGGTGGAGATGGTGATGATGACGAAGCATGGGTGGTGACATCGGCGGTAATAATGGTGGGTGAAGGTGGTGGCGCAGTGGTGACGATGGTAGGTGTGGTGGCAGTGGCAACATCGGTGGTGACGATGGTGGGTGGTGGCGACAGTGGCAGCATTGGTGGTGATGGTGGTGGGTGGTGGTGGCAACGACGGTGATAATAGTGAGTGGTAGTGCCGATGTCAATGATGTTGTGGGGGTGGTGGCAACAACAACGATGATGATGAATGGTTGCGGCGTCGTCAATGATGATGATGGGTAAAAGTGGCGGCAGTGATGAAGGTAGGTGGTGGTAGCGGAGGCGGCGGCAATGATGGTAATGATGATGGTGGGTGGCGAGGTGGCAACGACGACGCTGATGATAAGTGATGGTGGCTCGACCAATGATGGTGGTGGGTGGAGCTAGCAGTTGTGATGGTGATGATGTTAGTAGATGCTGGTCGTTGCATCCGTGATGACGGTAGGTTATGGTGACGGCGGCGACAATGGTGGTAATGGTAATGGCTGATAAATGTAATATGATGTCTCTCTATCACAAAACTCTTAATCACATTATTAGAGCACGAATGATGAATCAAACCCCAATCCTAATGAGATTCTAATAACTCGTGAGTCATTTAAGTTAATTGAGAAACTTTCTTCCCTCCATCATACTTAATACTTTAGCTTAAGATTTCAGAATCACGTCTTAGAGTATTTTACCTTCACATATTGAAAGCTAGACTTCTTCTTGTATACTTATATGCCTCTATGAATAACTCCTTTAACCTAACAATACATTTGTCATGCCCAAACCGAAGCATGACATGTTGCATTATCAAATTATAAAAGACCTATTGATAATACAACTACGATGTCTCAAGTTTGAAAATTACTTGCATTATTGAAAATACTATGGAGTTACTTGCTTGACAAGTAGTAAAATACTCCATACGAGAACTCTTGTTTGATCACGTTCAATGTACTCCCCAATTGTCGAGAAACTACGCATGGAGTGTTTTTTGTTCATCCGGAGAAAACAATCTAAATCCCTTTCACTGTATTTCGTTCATGCGGCATTGTCAGATGATGAATGCTTACTAAGTTTATGATTTTGTGCCTCCATTCTCTCTTTTGCGCACCGGCTTTGCATTCATTTAGTCAGATCTACTCGAATCAAACCACCCAACTGAGTGAATAAGAAATACATTGGCACTAAATGGTTTCCAATTTTTGTACAATAATAATACAACAACAACAACAACAACAAAGCCTTATCCCACTAAGTGGGGTCGGCTGTATGAATCTTAGATGTCATTGCGCTCGGTTCAATTTCTGTACAAATAATGTAACGAGAAAACTCTAGTCGTGTTTTTTTTTCTCAGAACTGAGCTAGTATAAGATTTAATTTGTGAAACTGCCACATATACGCCTACAAGAATCTATACAGAATTGCTGCTGCCAAGGCTTCTTTCTGACCTTTCTGGATCCTTGCTTGCCTTTGTATTCGGTTTTGGTGTTGGCTCTTCACTTCCAAAAGGCAAAACAACTACAGGGGCTGCAGGCACTCTGTCCCAACGCTCCTTCAAGAGTTTCATAAACCTTTTAACCATTTCCCTCCTGAACTCAAGCTCCCGTGTGAACAGATCGAAGATAAAAAAGGCAAGAACATATTTGAAGGGGAAAATGAGGAGAATGGTTGCAGAAGATAACAACACCAGCGCAACCTCAGTCGTTATCTGATAAAAGTTTAAACAGATGATTACTTCTTGTTCAGCCCGAATTAACTGCAAACTAATCCATGAGATGACCATTTTTTTCCCATAATTGTACGAATTTAAGCAATGAATACATACCTGAGGCTGACCAGAAAGGAAAACTGTATGTATTTTCAGAAGCGTGACATTCAGATTCTGTAAATAACTTTCCACATCGCGCATGGCATCTTTTACGGCTATAATTTTCTCAATGGTATTTGAAGGAGGCTGGTCACGGATGGTAATTTTTCCAAATGATCGTCCAAGGCGGCCTTGCTCCTTTAGCCCCTTCAATGTCAGCATGACAGCTGCCAAAATTATCAATGCCGCTGGGAATACATATGACAGCAAATTCCTGGCAACGTAATCTCAACAGATTAGCCTATAGTAAGATCACAGTGTGGAAATTTTAGGGAGTTAAAAAATAGAAGGTTCGGATCATTGAAGTTCAATGTGGAGTGGGTCGGACTACAAATCCTCAATTTTTTTTTTCAAAAAATGGGGATCCTTTACCTTAAAGGCCCTAGTTAAAAGAAAATGAAAAGTTCTCGATGCGAAAACATTGCCGAGGCACAAGGATGCAACCATATCCATCAGTCAACTTTTTAGGGGTAACTTATACAATAACTGAAGAAATTATAGCATCCAACAGAAAACCAAAAGGCAATAGGTGGAGAGGCCCAAGACATTATACTGCAATTCAAGCTTTACAATCCCAATGTGACACATAGACTCCTCATCTCAACACACACCCCTTACTTATGTTTGTAGGTTTTAACGCCGATTGTCTGATCCATTACCAAGTGGCAATCAGTGGAAAGGCCTAAGACATCATACATTGCAATTTGCAACACAAGGATTTACATTCCTTTTGTCAAATATACTCTCAACAATTACTCTACCAGAAATGAACCTACCTGAAAATGACTGTATATGCAAAGGCAAGAAAAGAAATGGTCAAATATGGCTCCTCCCAGCGCCTAAGTTTTTCAAAATTTCTCACAGTTATGGTCAGGGGAAACAGAAGTTCCTGCACAGGCAATATGGCACCAGCATTGGTTACACTACGCTTCAAACAAATGATATAAGAAACTAAATGAAATGTTCAGTAAAACAAAGCCATTGAAGAAAAAAACATGTTCACTGTGCAGTGAAGAAAGTAATAGAAAGTAGAGATTGCATTCATGGAGAAGCAATTTATAACCAACCTTGAATAGATCAATGTTACTTGGTATTCCCTTAAGCGTTGCAGCATCAATTGTGGCTTGAGTTGTTTCAGCTTCCTGCCATTTTTGTTTGCATGTTCTTGTTGCCCTTTCAACAAGGGACACATCAGCAACAACCAGATTTTTACTTAGAACTAGCCCCTGTCTTGTTGAAGTGTTCTTCCAAAAGGCAACAGAAGCACTTGAAGCCCAACATGGAGATCTCTTCCATTTGTGCAAGTAAACACTGCCATCTATGTCAAACACATGATTGCTGCTGCTTTCAATCATTTCATTAGAAGCCCTCGCTCCTTGAGCTGGCTGGTTGTCCATCTCTAAATACTTTGATATCAGTGGTCCACCCCAATAATTTACTGCTAGAGTCTGTGAAACTACATCACCAAATGGTGCATACTGTAAATATGTAAACTGAACATGTTTGGTGGGATCATCCAGCAACTTCCCCATAAATTGAAGAGCCTGTAGTCTAGCTATACTATTAATGGCAGTGGCCATAGCTCTTTCCTTCCCTTTGTGAGCACCATAAACATGAAATATGGATTCATCAAATTCCTCCGGTCCATAATCACGGATAAACTTGTGAACAGCATTAATTTCTCTAATAAATGCATGCCACACGTCTCGCCTCATTTCTCCACCTAAGTCCACAAATTCAAGCACCCATGTTTCTGATCTGCATAGTTTTATCTCAGAGATGAGCTTCTTAAGAAACATCAAATGAACAAAAAAGCATTTGTACAGAAAATTAGAGATGGCTTTTACAGTCATCGCTAACATGATTAATAGATCCTGAACGTGTCTTACATAAATTCAAACTCAGAAAATTTAAACTGAATGATATCAAAGAATTTATTAAGTAGATGCTTATAATGTGTAGTAGTGAAACTCTAAACAATTTTTAGTATTTATTTCTTTTGTTTCTAACAGTAGCGTGGGAGTCTGACTATCCAAAGTGAATATTCATAAACAACAATTTTTGAAATGTTTTCATATTTCATGCAAAAATGGTGACGAGATATAAAATGAAACATAGATGGTTAAGCACTCAGTAGAATAGAAAAACAAGAACTGGGAGTCTGACTGTCAAGAAGCTTACTCACACGGGACCATACGATATAGAGACGGCAGAGTCGAAGAGACCAGAACCAAAAGGTCCAACTTTTGCTTTCTTAATCTGTAATCCTTGTTTTGTAAGATCCAATCTTATAGAATCCTTTTGCCCAGCAAGGCCAACGGCCTGCAGTATCAAATGAAAAATAAGACTGATTTGAGGCTAGCAATGCCACAACTCAACAAAAAGTTTAGAAAGAAGAAAACAGAAACAGAAACATATAGTTCGATTTGCAATGAAATTATATCGTTTTCTAATTGATGAAATAAGAATGAATTGAGACCAGCAATGTGATAAGCTCATATTTATATATATTTTACACCAAATTCACTTGTCTTTTCTTAGTTAGTTCCTTATATTTTTGAGGTATTTACTTTGTTTTTGTGTGTTGTGGGATTTGTCAAGCAAAGAAAAGAAAAATAGCACAAGTGGGATTTTAAGTGACAAATTCGTCAAAACCGCCTGTGCAGATCAGCTGACTTTGGAAGCAAGTTGCGAACAGCTCAAAATGAATTAGAGAATGAGCCTTATATGCTTGGAAAGCTACGGATATCTATTTTCTGGAGCATTTCGCGGATTGTTAATATCATTTTTGTAGAAGAAGTTATGGCCGTTTTAACACTGAAAGGTTCACAAGAGACTGAGCAGTTTATAACTGCAATGAAAGCAATAAACCCAATAAGTCTAACATCCAAAACTGATGCAGCCAAGAACAAGTCAGCTGATACTTATTCAAATATAAAAGGGAATGGAATTGAAGATGAGGATTAAGAGGGAGTAATTGGCATAAAGGCTACCTAAAGAGTTACAATTGTTTTACAATTTCCTCTCACTTATTGTCATCACTAAATGGCTATTAGTGGGTGAGTTAAGGAGAAGAAAATGATGCAGCAAGAATTGGTTTAAAAGCAGCATTGGGGAAGGAAAGAAAGAGGAGGAGGCCTTGGTCGATTTCTTTCGGTTCTATCTTCTCAAACTCATGTCTATCTTTTGTTTTAACTTAAGGATTGTGTGTAACTAAATTTTTAGTAGTTAGGGGCTGTTTTGAAGCCCCGAATATGATTGCAAGTTTGTTATGACATTTCATTTGAATTACTTTTATGAATGGATGAAAATTGGTTCACTACTTGTCTCATTGATGAATTCTTTATTTGTTTTCTATGAATGCATACGTAGTAAGCATATCTAGGATTCTAATGCTATGAATATGTGTGTGCCTGTCCTTGTCGAATGAGGACCTATATATGTTCTAAAGTAGTACTTGTTAATTGCGATAACATGTGAACCAATTTCTAGGATAAGTAAGACAACGCCAGTACTTACGATGCCTTGTGATGACTCAAACTCTTTTCATTAATGATTTCTACTTGTTAAATCTATGAACACGCCATTCTAGATTGCATGCTAGGGACCAAGTTAAGTTGAAAACGCCATTCTCTTAACATACTACCTAAGAAAGAGTAATAGGTTGAGTTCTAACATTGAGCCAACTTGAGCATCTTCATCTGGAAATAAAAGGAATTTGAATGAAACATAACATGTTTGCATGATTATTTGGTGGTGGATAGCAATTCCCCTAACTTGTTGTTCTTAATTTGTGACTACTTAAAATCTATTTCTGTCCTGTTTTTGTTCTATTTAATTTAAATAGAAAATCAACTCCAAAAATCCTAAAAATTTGTGTGAGTGTAGCTTTGTGTGTCTAGTGTGTTCATATAAAATTTCGTAGACTTTAGATAAGTGTAAGTCAGTCCAATAATTATGTTTCGGTGGCTGGTCAGTAGGGACAGCAACCAGTTTTTGTGACATTTTAAGTAGTTAGATAAAACAATCTTCTGCGGGAAAGACCCTTATTTTCATATGCTACAATTGACAAATCTTAGCTTTAATAAGGAAAATCAATAGGACATTTGTGTGCTATTTTGTGGTGTGCTTTTAATCTTATCACAATGCCCAACTGGACAAATGTGAGAAAGGAGAAGCAGGCAATACTATTTCACAACAGGAAAAGGGGAAACCAAACGTAAATCAAGGAAGAACAAAAGTACAGTTACGAGTCTCAGGAAATGACCACTTAAGAATCTGCTATTTACAATACATCATAAAGCATCTAAAACACTCGCTCGAAGAAACATCACAACATGAATTTTCAACCTGTTCCAATTATCAAAACACTGCTAATTTACTAACTCTACACTGGCTAACAAAAATCTCTACACCTCATAACATCAAAATTTAGGCATAAAAGAGTAACAAGCACGAAGACAAGAAAAGGAATTCCAGGGAAAAAAGCTGAAGCATTTCCTGTTAGAGATCAAGATGTCCCAAACCTTGACCGATGTCAACTACCTTACGTATCTTAAAAATCTCTGAGTTTTGATGTTGGCATTCTTTGTAAATCAAAATTAAGAATGAGAATTCAATACATAGTTTCAAAAATAAACCATAGAAGTTTGGTTCCAAGTGTGTGCCATAGTGCTTTCTTCTTATTTTTTGTCGAAGAGCCATAGTGCCTTCTTCTTTTTTGTCGAAGTGCCATAGTGCTTATACAGTTTACATTTTACTACCAATAACCTAATGGACTTAAATGGAAGAGGACATGAAGTTACCCCTCAAATTGCAATTCAACAATTCGATATTAAATGTCAGTGTAAAAATATAAAACTCATAAACAGATTAGTTACCTCAAAATAAATTGCTTTATCAGTTAATGTTACTTTTCCTGGCCATGCCATGTTGTTCTCCCATTTTAGGACAGGCCGCTTCCTGCTGGAACCAATGCATAAAATTCTCTCCTCAGGAAGGTTGGAACTTTGTCTAGTCTGGTATGATTTTCTTCCTTCGTGAATCCTACACAAATAAGACTAGTTCAACCTGAGCTTCCTAGAACAATGAGGCATGCGCATAAGCCTATAATGAAAATGTGATACCTGAGACATTTGTACACAATGCATGGAAATTAAAAGCAGGAAAAATGAAAAATTTGGAAAAGCATGACAAAGGACATCTTGATCAAGCCATAGTTATGAATCTTCTGACTATGGCAGAGGGCTCCAGTTGTATCCCTGATTCCCTTGACCAACCATTAGGCAGCTCCCTAGTACTTAAGGTTCTAAGGAGACTACTGGGGAATCTTCTCCACTGACAGGGCTAAAGTGACTGGCAGACACAAATTCTCGTGCCAAACTAGGCGCATTCTATACATTGTTCGGGATGAGGAGGCCTCTACCATGAGTTGGAAACCATTCTAAACCCTATTTTACAAATCAGTAAAGCAATCAACAGTTTTCAACTCTTCCTATCAAAACCATCAAAGGAATAGAAGAAAATTGATGTTAGGTACTTTTGTTCAAGACATTATGTAAAGAAAAAAAAACCTCACTTTCACTGAAAGGTTTTTTCAATGGTTATATCTACAGAATTTTAATCTAGTTGCAGCTACCGATCATAAAAATATTGATTAATTGCTCTACTTGTCATGGTTATCAGAAGACTTAATTCAAACATATAAAGTTAGTAAAATAACACAAGTATGAAACTCACTTGAGAAGTTCATCAACATAAGTCAACCACGTGCTCAGAGAGATGCCCTGTTCATCACCGGCAAGAGCCTTAAATAGATTATGCGCTGTTGACCTATCAGCCACACCAGAAATAGCAGGAGCCATTCGAACAAAAGCCTCTTCTCTGACAAGCTTTCTCTGTTCACCAGAAATAAATAAACTTACTTTAACTGACCACTGTCATCAAAACAATGTAAGCATGTAAGTTCAACCATTTTCACAGGCTAGAACCATGTAGGTTTAACCATTTAGCCTCATTAAAGTAATTCCCTAGCATGGTCTTGGAGATGACAATTGATATCCTAATTATCTCGTAGAGCATGATATCAATCATATCATTTATGCCAAATTTGGCGCACCCCGCTATTTTCCTCTAACTCCTGATAGTCATAATCAAAATTTCAGTTGTAACTCAAAGTGTGATGTAAGTAATTATTTGTTAACCATATTTCAAAGAAATTTCACTAGTTTCAAATGCTGGTTTATATAATTATATAAATATATAGATATCTGAAGAAGGAACCTGAAAGGAAGCTTTCTCGGAACCATTAGCAAGATCTTCTCGATAAGGATTCTCCCATGCAAGCATAGTTATAAATATAAGTCTTTGGAATGAAGGTTCCTGTAGATGCACCAACATTTTCCAGAAACAAGGACCAAATTACTACTTGTGCGAGTTACTAATCTCAAAAGGGAAATTTTGCCGAACAGAATGAGAAAATAAATAAGCTTCAACTACCATATCTCCAAATTCAAAATTCCAAAATTCTAAAGACATCAGGTTTCTATGTTCAAGATGCAAAAAATAAATAAATACACATACAGATGGACACTATATGCACAATTCTTATACAACATCATAGTACCATTGAGGTCCTCCATCATACTACATTAAACTTTTTATTCCAAGAATATCGCTTGCAAAATTGCTAAACAGTTAAAACAAGAGGACAAAAATAAAACAAAGGAAAACAAGTAATACGCGCGCAGATTGTAATATTAGTCGCTCTATTTCATAACAAAAATGGTTAGACTTTAAACAGGTTAGTGAATTATATGTACTTGTAGACGGAACCACTCTTAACAAAAGACTCCAATATTTCCCTTCACCATACGACGGTAAGAATCTAAAAACTGGAATAGAGACAACGAAATCAACATATGAGATATTCAAGAAAGCAACATATGGATAAAGGAATTCTTATTCTAGAGCGGTGATAAATGAGTTTCACTTGCACTAAGTACTACTAACCTTGAGGGAAGGATGAATATCAGAATTATCCCTTGACAGAAACCTGAAGCAGCAATATTCTACCAAATTGCGAGCATCATTGTATGTAGATTCAGGAACAAGTGCTTTAAATATTTTCTGCATCTTCTGCCCCGTCAATCCATTCATCCTGCATATCTTAAGAGTCAAATGATAATTCTTCTGTCAGTTTGATACTTTAATAAGCCTATAAAACCAAGGAAGCTTATGCATAGTGGATTAAAAACTTTCCCCAGTCAGGGCAATATGTGAATAAACCATATTAGAGTGCACAGGGCAGGAAAATTGAAAGCAAAACTGTCTCTGACATTTATACAAATTGGAGGCCAGTTTGTTGATGCATTGCAGTAGGATACTTCTTCTTCCTTTTTAAAAATCCCTTACTTTCTTGGAATAAAAAGTTTTTCATACCAAAAAAAGAAAAAATACAGGTAATGTTAAAGCAGTTCATCTCACAGGTAAAATTTCATATTGCAAATGAAAAACCACGTGACAATGGAGACAGATGTAAAAACTTGAAGCCAAATATTTTGACTGACAAAGAAGTTCGAACCAACAAATTCACCTGCTAAATTGCTCTATAGATACAACGGCAGCTAAAGAGAGAATTCCATTTGGTGTTCTGCTATTAAATGTCTGTTCTGCCATAAATATGTCCTCCATATCTTGTGTCTCTGAAGCATCTGTAGCGACAGGCTTTTTAGTCTGACCAGTTCTTGCCAATGGAGACGTGGACGCCACTTCATTTAAAAAGCTTTGCGTCTTTACTAGCCATGAATTCAACTTTTCTTGTACGGCATCTGTCAAAATATGAAAATACAATAGTTTTAGACAGCCAAAACTAGAAACAAGATTAAAGAGACTATTTTTAACAAGTGTTTAACCTAGAGCCTATGATATCAATCATATCATAACCCTAAACAAGCAGTAGGTAACTATGCATTGTTTTCCTTATACTTTCACTTTCAGCATGCCAGACGTAGTAATTGTTTGTACTTTTCTCTTTTATCCACCCTTAACATTTCAAAATGAGAAGATGTTGAGATCATTCAGGAGTCTTATTATATTTCCCACAACAGAGAAATGATAAAAGTTACCATTTGCTATATTATACTTTATGAGACCAGAAGGTTCATGAGGCCTTTCCTTTGATGATCAGCAAGGGGCAACGGCGGAGAAATTATTTTTTGCCATTGCCTGCAAACTCATACGATCCTTATCTTCCAGGTCATTCATTCTCTTGAGCATTCTAATTGAATGAATGAGACACTTATGACTTAAGAGATAGACAACGGTATTTTTTTTTTCTTTTTCTTTTTCCATAAATTGGAAAGCTTTCCAACGAATTCGAGTTCAACCACCCTCAAAACAAATATTTAGAAACCGTTCAATAACCATTTAGGCCAAAACCATGGGACATAACATTGCACTGTATGAGATTATCAGTAGATCAAGAAACACATGGATTTTGTTTAATATGTGGTTTATCCATAACCATCACCAAACCAAGTAAATCCCACAATTTACCTTCAATCATTGAAACATGAAAAATCAAGAAGACTAATGGAAACAAATAATAGACAAGCAGACTCACTTGCATCAACGTCGTTGAGCTTCCACCTATCCCCCAGAGACTGCCCCACAATCCTGAACCGCAACTTGTTACGCTCTGAAGAATTCCCGGCACAATATCCAAGCCTAGGACGATTCCCACGCCATGAAAATCCAGAAACGGGTACAGCAGGTGATGTTTTCAACTGGGTAACTGAGATTTTGGACAGCATCTTCTTCCTTTTCTCCCAAAATTTTCAGGATTCGAGCTCCGAAACCGAGTAAGCAGGAACTTGGTTGCTGTGGAAGCGTAGGAGAAAAACTTAGTGGACGAGTGGGCGGACAGAGAGAGAGACGGAAAGTGAGTGGCAGGCTAAGCTTATTCGGCATACTAATCACTCCATGTGATATGGCTGATGAATGAGCAGATATCTCCAAGCTTCCGACATAAACATTAACAATTACTCGGAGGTAAATAGCTTGGTAGCCGTAGAGGTAACTACCTTCCAAACAAACCACACACCTTTTTTCTTGGTTATATCCATTTTACTGTCCTCAAGTTTTCGATTTTCACCTTCTCGTAGCCATAGGTTTTTTTCATCCCAATTTCGTACACGGTCATTAATTTTTTTTTCCCCTTTAAACTTTTGTTAGTCAATCTCTTAAGTCTTGCGATGGCGTGGAAGGCCTTTAGCCGGCCAAAAAAATCAAAATTATTTTTAAAACTCACATCTCTTTCAAGGTAATTTTCACTTTATTGCCATAAGTTTCGTCAAAATCACATTTTACGATACTTACTTTTTTGTCTTGCTTTTATAACTAAATTTGATTTTTCTACCACTTTTATACTTTCTTTAGACTTTCTGTTAGGAGTGAGTACGAGTCGAGCCGGATTCATTTTTAATGGATCAGAACTCGCCTTGTTTTTTTTGTAAACAAGTCTTAGCCGATCATGGCTTCTGTAGTTTTATTAGTAGAACCGGCTGATTTGAATCCGTCTAATACGATCCGATTCCGTTTTCTATCATGTCATACAACAAAATAACAATATAAAAACAATCTCTTTGTGTTTTTGTTACGAAAGAATTACATCTAACAAACCAACAATACCAACAAATGTTTTAAAGGAAGAAGTTTGTTTGTCTTTTTACTTAGGGTTAGGTAGATTTAAAATTAGGGAGTTTTAACGAAAAGTCCACGGTACTGTTCACTTTAACGAAAAATCATATTTTTACACTAAAAAGTCAAACCTGCTACTATTCACTTTACCCTTTATTTTATCATTATCGTTAAAACTCAAAGTTTTCAAATTTTTTTCCATTAAATTTCCTTTAAAATTATGGATCGTGGGCTTCATTGTGGACCACTTATGAAATGGCAAGTGCTAAGACAACCATTAAACAATCCGGGCCAAGTAACCTGCACATAAAAAATTAAAAGTAAGAACAATATGGTTTTACATCGGGTCGGATAATACGGTCCAAATCTACAGTCCAAAGACTTGAATGTCCACCCCTATTTTTTGTTAAGTGTTTCGTTAATTGATGACATGACGTAACTTTGACCCATCAAATTTGCCACGTAAAGCGACATATTAAATAGATATTAAAAATAATTAATTAATGAAAAAAAAAGGTCAAAATATATGTCAAAATAAAACCATAGCTAATTTAATAGATAAAAGATGTACAAAATATACGCTTAAATATCAACATAACAATTTTTCCGTTAAATTAGCTAATTTAAATAGTAAAAGCGTAACTTTGATTCACCAAATTTACTACGTAAAGCGACATATTGTTTTCTGTTATTATCAAATGAAAATTACATGTATTACAATTTTTGAAAGAGAAATTTAAAAGGCTTGAGTGTTTATTTTATATATACTAGCATATGGGCACACACTAAGTGTGTGAGAAAACTTTTTATTTTTGTTTTTGAAATAGAAGAGAGGAAGAGAGTGATAGAGAATGTGGGAAAGTTTTTATTTTTTTATTTTTATTTTTTTTAATTAAAGATATGTTAGGATTACATGTAGGTGAGACTTTGAAAAAAAAAACAAAATTTGGTTGTGTGAAATTACATTTATGCCCCATATTTCTTATTCATGTTATGTTTTAATTAGAAAGTTAAACTGGTAATTTCATAGGATTTTGGTTGACAATGAGTGTTTTATTAATTAGTAGATATATATATATATATATATATATATATATATATATAGGGAGCTTAAGGGAGGGATGTAACAGCCCGTCCCGTATTAACGTTTTTATAAGTGTGAAGTTTGTTTAATTATCCTAGTTTTTAAGAGTGGACGTTTTGTCTGTGTGTTTGTTTGAAAATGACTTATGGACTATACACTCAGACACACTCATTATTCATTATTCCTTCCCGTGATTCCCTCAAACACTCACACTCTCTCTCTCCCGTCAAGCTCTCTCTCACTCTCTCTCTCTTTCTACACTCACGGCAAAACAACAAGGATCTTCAAATCTTCACAGATCGAAGAAACAAAGACCACCATCGTCTTCATCTCGTCGATACGAATTCATCCATACCCATTTCAGGTAAGAACTTCAACGTTTTCACGTCGAACAACTCACCTCCGAGTTTGACACTATTCATCAACTTTGTATTGGTTGATTTTTAGGGGTTTTTAAGCTCATAGGGAGCTTAAGGAGGTTCTTAGGAAGCTCGGAATGCTTCGTTGGAAGTTTTTGGAAGTAAAACACAGAGATCGGAAAGTTCAATGTTTGGTCGGAACTTTCGAGACGTTTTCCGGCCAAACCACGGAGAGTTAGACGTCGTGCGAGGTACCATTCTCTTCATCTATTCGAGAACTACAACTTTTGTTTTTGTTTCACCCAATTTCGTTGAGTATTAAAGAAGTTATACTTATTTGAATCTTACCCAGTTTCCGGCGAGTCCGATGGCTTTCGAGGCTTTTTCCGGTGAATTCCCGGCGAGTTAAGGGTCGAGACAGGTATAGATTTGTTCGTCTCTTCAATATCTTCATTTTGATATAAAGAACGTTGAAAATGGTGAAGAAATGAAGAAGTTATGGCAATTTGAAAAACTGCCCAGAAACCGGCGAAACCAGTCCGGCGAGCCGAGGAAGAAGACGCGCGTGGGGGCGCGTAGGTCAGTGCCACCCACGGCGCGTGGGGGCGCGTGTAGGGTTCAAAAAATATTTCTAAAAATATGTCGACGTCCGTGACGTCGTGTAGATCACCGTGGTATATTCACATACCCAAATTGAGCAACGTATAAGAAAGTTATTGATGAATGTTTGTGTATGTGCGTTTAAATGATGTTTTATAATTATTTTTGTATAGGTGAAAATTTTACGGACGAAGAACGTAACCAAAATAGGCGAGGGGGTTACGAACCGGCTACTTATCTGTGAGTGGGCAGTTTTGTTTTCCGTATACATATATACTATTGAGTCTTCCCAGAAATTGAATTTAAATGAAAGCATGATTTAAAATGCCATGGATAGAATTATATGAAAAGTATGATTTGAAATGCCATGCATAGAAGTATATGAAAAGCATGAATTGATATATGATGCATATATATATGTGAATTGGTGCTGTGGACGCACAGGTAAGTATCAGGTGAGTTTTATATTATTCATGTGCATTGTTGATGTGTATATTGTGGATAGCTCATAACCTGCAATCATGGTATTAGTGCTTATATTATTCACCACACCGCACGTTCGTCTTGGATCCAAGTAGGTGGATGTCGTACAGACCAAGTGAGGGTTCCGACATGCTAGTCGTATAGATTACTAGATGTGATTCCGACTAGTGGGTGACCTTAGATTATGTGCACAGATGATTGATGAGAAGCACTAGAGCGTATCATTACACCATTCATGTCGTACAGACTACTTCAGGTAGTTCCGACTTATCTGCAGTGTAGTGCCGTACAGGTCACCGAGGTGACTCCGGTTGGATTGGATGTTGAGCTATAGAATTAACCATACAGGACCAACTGCAGGGTTTCCGGTTAATTCACTATTTCACCTGTTACATTGATGCATCATTTATTTTGTTTTCGAAATTAAAACATGGCATACTTTCGGGTTTTAAAGAAAAATTGATGATTCGAGATTTATGAAAAGTATTATGTTATTATATTATTTTCTGGGAAAAGTATACAGGTTTTACAGTGAGGGGTTAGAATTATTTTTGGCGAAATGTTTTTTGAAAAGCTTGGTTTTACTGACCCACTCAATTTTGTTTTTTGCCCCTCCAGGTTCTTGATAGCAGAGTTTTGGTGGCCACGAGGAATCCAACGGTATTCTGACAGAATTCACAAAAGTAGGACTCACCCTCGAGGGTTTCCATTTTAATAATTGTATTTTTAAAAGCTTCCGAACTGTGTAAATGGTTACGTCACTCTCATGTGACGGCCAGCATGCCCTCTTTCGGGACGGGGTGTGTCAGTTGGTATCAGAGCATGGTTGCAATCTTGGACATCTTGAGAAGTTTCTAGTGAATTCTGTCAGAACTACACCGCCTCGTAGCAAACCACGTAGTTAGAGGAATTTAGTCTCCCTGATTTAGCGATTTAGGAGAAACTATTATTATGGTGATTCAGTCCTATTATAAAAAGGGACATTTTAAGACGGGTTATGAGTCGAATTTGAATCACCTTATGAAATGATGAGCTTAGTTTCCCCGATTTAACTTAGTTATGTGAAACTACTATTAATGTGATTCAGTCTGTTATCCGTCCTTCCCAAATGACTACCTTTGAGATTGTTTATAAGTTGAAACTGAATCACTTTATGGAAAAATGATGTCACTGGAGGAAACAGCCGATTGAAAGTTGTTTAAAGAATTGTCTATTCCTTCGGCATATATGGATGATAATAAGCAAGAGTTTACAATTTGAGACAAGGAAAGATGACAGCGAATAAGTATTATAGAAAGTTTACGGACTTGCCTTATTACCATCCGGATGTTGTTGATAATCCGACAGAGGAAGGATGATAAGGATAAAGGTCAGTCATCTCGAGAACCTTGAAAGATTCAGAGCTTTAAAAAGAAGTGAAGCTAATTTTAGTTCTTTTGACGAAGGTTTTAATGCCATTGATCAGAGGCGAAGTGATAGATGTATTGGTAATCCCAGATCTCAGAGGCAAGGTGACTTTAGTAGAGGAAATGTACCTTTGTGCTGTAAGAACAATAGCATGCACTTTGGAGAGTGTAGGTGGGAAAACAGAGTATGCTTTACACGTGGACAAATGGGACATAGAGCTACAAGATACTCAGAATCTTTCGGGCTTGATCATGGGCACGTTAAACATTCCTGGTTACTTTGCTAGAGTTTTAATTGATCTTGATGTAGAAATTTCTTATTATTGACGATGTTGCCAAAGAGAGTAATGTTGGAGCACGATCGAGGCATATATATAGGTATTTCTATTGAAGAGCAAGATGATAATATTGTACCCTCGGGAATTGTTGCTTACTTATCGAGACAACGATGATTTATCAGTATTGCGGGCTGCATACCGTAATATTAATAACTTATTCGTGGATTCGTTAAGCAAGTAAACAAGGTAATTTTTTTTTTTATATTAAAATTCATTAAAAAGGGAACATTAAGCAGAAAAATAAAATGAACATTAAACACAAAAATACAAGAGAGAGAGCCTTCACAAAGGCTACTTAGGAGAAGTCTCAGTAGTCGGCGGAGCCTCAGTAGTCGGCGGAGCCTCAGCAGTCGGCGGAGCCCCAGTAGGAGGAGGTATTGGAGGTTGATCATTTCGAGCTTCAGTATGCGGTACAGCCCCAGAAGATGAAGGCAAATGTTGTTGGAACAAACCCACAAACCTCTGATGATCAAGTAAAATCTGACCATCAGATTCTTGTATCTGGTCAATTTTCCTCTTTATGTTTGTAGCATAGCTATGTGCGAGCCGGTGCAACTGTTTATTCTCCTGCTTGAGCCCTCTAATCTCCTGTTTGAGACTCATCACTTCAGCCGCCAATGATTCAACCTGGCGGGTTCGAGCAAATAGGCGTTGGGCCATATTAGACACAGAACTTGCACACTGAACACTGAGAGCCAGAGAATCCTTAACAGCTAACTCATCAGACCGTTTGGAAAGTAGTCTGTTATCTTTGGGAGTGAGAAGGTTCCTGGCCACCACCGCAGCGGTCATATCATTCTTCATCACGGAATCCCCAACGGTAAGAGGACCAGTAGGGGAGACAAAGGATGGGCGCCATATGTTGTCTGGAGAAGGCGGGGCTACCTCTTCAACAAAGTTCAAGTCAAAACGACGGTCGGATGGGCCAGACATTTTCAAAAGTGTTGAAAAGAGAAGAGGTCGGACAAATCAAGAATTTAGAAGTGCACGAAGAGAGTTTCTATAGGCAGAAATTCAAGTGTGTTTTGAAATGAACTGCGTGCCTCTATTTAAATCAGCTCGACGGGATTTCAGAGATCAAAGAGGCCAATTTTTTTTTAAAAATAATAATAATAATAATAATAATAATAATAAAAAAAATCGAAGAGGCGTTTGCTTTCTCAAAAGTTGGGCTGCTCAGAAACCACGAGGGTCGATCTCAGAAATCGAAGAGGTTTGCTTTCTCAAAAGCTGGGCTGCTCGAAGACCACGAAGGCTAATCTCAGAAATTAAAGAGGCGCTTGCTTTCTCAAAAGCTGGGAAGCTCAGAACTCGAAGTTGCAAGCTCAGAAATCGGAGAGGCATCTGCTTTTCCAGACGTGTCAGCATCTGTCACATGCACACTCAGCTTTGCGAAAATCACGGGCAGTTTGATTCCAGATATCGAAGAGGCATATGCTTTATCTCGACGTGTCAACATCTATCACATGCACACTCAGCCTTGCGGAAATTACGGGCAATCTGTCGAAGATTTCTTGTGAAGTAGAATGTACGTGACTTTTCCTGTTCAATTTTCCAACGGGTACCGACATGAGTAAAAGAACAGTGCCTCTTCCAGTTATGAAGAAATGCCTATAAATGTCAACCTTCACAGCAAGACAGCCTCACTCAAACCTTCTTCATCTTCGAGAATGCATTCGCATCAAATTCTCTCGAGTCACTCAGTGTTCATCATTCCTTGGGATACCTCTGCAAACAACCCATCAAAAGTAAGAGTATTTCATATCAACAGGGTTAAAAGCAAGAGTATCCCATATCATGCTTTTTTTCCCTGTCTTTTCCTTTGACCTGGTTCTTACCTGCAAGGCAAGCGTAACAGCACACGTGCCGATACATCCATTACTCTGTCAAAAGCAAAAGTATCCCATATCAGCAGGGTCGAACGTACTCTAGATTTGATGGACTTGTTTTGACCCTCAAATTCTTCAGTCGGCCTTATACTCTGGAGGAAACCAGAAAACCCTCCAGCTCAGTTCAAGAATAAGCCTGTGGAAAGTTACTTCTTCAAAAGAAAAAGTATCCCATATCATCTCTTCTCATTTTTCTTCTCTTTATCCTTCATGCTGCCTGCAAGATAGGGAGAAAGAGAGCAATCAGCCAGCACTTGGTATCAATCTTTCGATCGGGAACCGACTGCCTAGAACCCCTTCCTGATTGCTTACCTAGCCTTGCTCTCGAGTACTCATCTTCAACATCTTATGCTTCCTCTTCGTCTACCACATCTGCCTGGGGAACAGATAAGGGAAGTGAAAATGATACCTCGAAGCATGTGGAGACAACGTGCTGATTCATCCTCAGCTAGGGACATGGAGAAAGAAAGCAAATGAAAAGAAACAGACCATCACCTCTACCTCGTGCCTGTCTGCCGTGCAGAAGAAACAAGCAGAGAAGAATGCAGACTGCATAATCAAATTAACCCAGCAGAAGGAGTCTGAATTGAAACCAAGGAACTCTCCTATTCTCTGCTCAGAATTCCAATCCAGTTCGAGGTCAAAGCTGTGGAAAGTCAACAAGATCATCTATCTCCATAACCAGATTTACGTTCTTAAACTCTACTCTGTCTGATTTTTACTTTACCATACTTGTCATGTTTATTCGTAGTTTGTTTGTTTGCTTGTTTTGTGTGAGTTTATGTTTGAAACATTGAGGACAATGTTTAATTTAAGTGACGAGGTTCCAATGACTATCATCGATTGGAAGGATAAGGTTCTTAGGAACAAGACCGTTCGGATAGTGAAGGTTTTGAGGAGGAACCACTCAGTGGAGGAGGCTACTTGGGAAACAGATGATCAGATGAGAGAGATGTATTCGAGATTGTTTTATGATTATTAGTGTTGTATTTTGGTTGTGTAAATTTCGGGGACGAAATTTCTATAAGGAGGGTAGGTTGTAACAGCCCGTCCCGTATTAACGTTTTTATAAGTGTGAAGTTTGTTTAATTATCCTAGTTTTTAAGAGTGGACGTTTTGTCTGTGTGTTTGTTTGAAAATGACTTATGGACTATACACTCAGACACACTCATTATTCATTATTCCTTCCCGTGATTCCCTCAAACACTCACACTCTCTCTCTCTTTCTACACTCACGGCAAAACAACAAGGATCTTCAAATCTTCACAGATCGAAGAAACAAAGACCACCATCGTCTTCATCTCGTCGATACAAATTCATCCATACCCATTTCAGGTAAGAACTTCAACGTTTTCACGTCGAACAACTTACCTCCGAGTTTGACACTATTCATCAACTTTGTATTGGTTGATTTTTAGGGGTTTTTAAGCTCATAGGGAGCTTAAGGAGGTTCTTAGGAAGCTCGGAATGCTTCGTTGGAAGTTTTTGGAAGTAAAAACACAGAGATCGGAAAGTTCAATGTTTGGTCGGAACTTTCGAGGCGTTTTCCGGCCAAACCACGGAGAGTTAGACGTCGTGCGAGGTACCATTCTCTTCATCTATTCGATAACTACAACTTTTGTTTTTGTTTCACCCAATTTCGTTGAGTATTAAAGAAGTTATACTTATTTGAATCTTACCCAGTTTCCGGCGAGTCCGATGGCTTTCGAGGCTTTTTCCGGTGAATTCCCGGCGAGTTAAGGGTCGAGACAGGTATAGATTTGTTCGTCTCTTCAATATCTTCATTTTGATATAAAGAACGTTGAAAATGGTGAAGAAATGAAGAAGTTATGGCAATTTGAAAAACTGCCCAGAAACCGGCGAAACCAGTCCGGCGAGCTGAGGAAGAAGACGCGCGTGGGGGCGCGTAGGTCAGTGCCACCCACGGCGCGTGGGGGGCGCGTGTAGGGTTCAAAAAATATTTCTAAAAAATATGTCGACGTCCGTGACGTCGTGTAGATCACCGTGGTATATTCACATACCCAAATTGAGCAACGTATAAGAAAGTTATTGATGAATGTTTGTGTATGTGCGTTTAAATGATGTTTTATAATTATTTTTGTATAGGTGAAAATTTTACGGACGAAGAACGTAACCAAAATAGGCGAGGGGGTTACGAACCGGCTACTTATCTGTGAGTGGGCAGTTTTGTTTTCCGTATACATATATACTATTGAGTCTTCCCAGAAATTGAATTTAAATGAAAGCATGATTTAAAATGCCATGGATAGAATTATATGAAAAGTATGATTTGAAATGCCATGCATAGAAGTATATGAAAAGCATGAATTGATATATGATGCATATATATATGTGAATTGGTGCTGTGGACGCACAGGTAAGTATCAGGTGAGTTTTATATTATTCATGTGCATTGTTGATGTGTATATTGTGGATAGCTCATAACCTGCAATCATGGTGTTAGTGCTTATATTATTCACAACACCGCACGTTCGTCTTGGATCCAAGTAGGTGGATGTCGTACAGACCAAGTGAGGGTTCCGACATGCTAGTCGTATAGATTACTAGATGTGATTCCGACTAGTGGGTGACCTTAGATTATGTGCACAGATGATTGATGAGAAGCACTAGAGCGTATCATTACACCATTCATGTCGTACAGACTACTTCAGGTAGTTCCGACTTATCTGCAGTGTAGTGCCGTACAGGTCACCGAGGTGACTCCGGTTGGATTGGATGTTGAGCTATAGAATTAACCATACAGGACCAACTGCAGGGTCTCCGGTTAATTCACTATTTCACCTGTTACATTGATGCATCATTTATTTTGTTTTCGAAATTAAAACATGGCATACTTTCGGGTTTTAAAGAAAAATTGATGATTCGAGATTTATGAAAAGTATTATGTTATTATATTATTTTCTGGGAAAAGTATACAGGTTTTACAGTGAGGGGTTAGAATTATTTTTGGCGAAATGTTTTTGAAAAGCTTGGTTTTACTGACCCACTCAATTTTGTTTTTCGCCCCTCCAGGTTCTTGATAGCAGAGTTTTGGTGGCCACGAGGAATCCAACGGTATTCTGACAGAATTCACAAAAGTAGGACTCACCCTCGAGGGTTTCCATTTTAATAATTGTATTTTTAAAAGCTTCCGAACTGTGTAAATGGTTACGTCACTCTCATGTGACGGCCAGCATGCCCTCCTTCGGGACGGGGTGTGTCAAGGGATCCCCATTTTTTCAAAAAAAATGGGGACACGCTCCCCACCGTTAGATTGACTTTAATGAAATTGTGTGGTTGAGATTAAAACACAGACCATAGAATCTCAACCACAGGATTTCATTTAATTCAAATCCAACGGTGGGGAGCGTGTCCCCATTTTTTTGAAAAAATGGGGATCCCTCCCCTTAAGCAATTCCTATATATATATATATATATATATATATATATATATATATATATATATATATTTGTCCAATAGCCTAACTCGACGAAAATCCTAATCCTATATATGTCTCCAAAACCCTATCTCGATGACAATTTGAAACCCGTATCATCATGATAAATGAAGAATATAATCAAAGCTGCTTAGCTTTCCAATACTCTTCATTTATTCAGGCCAATATAAAGAAATTAAAATTTTATTTTGATTCGCAATTACTTTTAGCGTTTCAAATTCTGCGCGTTTACTAATCTGTAATCAAATTGAGAGGAATTGAATTGAGGAGGAATTGGATTGAGGGGGAATTGAAATGAGGTGGAATCAGAATCGGATTCCTGTTGAAGTTGTTTACTAAAACTGTCTGGAATCGAAGTAGGAATGATGTTGAGTCCATATAAGTTGTTTACTAATTCACTTCAATCAGAATGAAAACTCAGTTGATTACTATGTTGCCCTTACATAAATAAATTATTTTTATACAAATTAATCAAACTAATTTATTGTTCAAAAAAAAAAAATTAATCAAACTAATTTTATATACCAAAATTTATCTCTATAAAAATAATTAACTTCACTCAATCCTTCCATTTGCTGTCTTCACCACCACAAAAAACCCTTTGTCTATCTTCCCACCCACACCACGCCTCTCTCATCCTTTTCCCAGCCGCAACAGCCCTCCCCCCTCCCCCCTCCCCGCCTTTCCCTGCCCTCCACCCCACTTACCCCCATAGATCGGTAAGTCATGGTCCAGCGGAGTGGTCTTGTCGGCAAATCATGGTCCACCGGAGTGGTCTCTCATCCTTTTACAGAGAGTTGCTGCATAGGGTTGCTGGAGAGGATGGCGGAGGACAACCATAAGATGGAAGGGTATTTTGGAAAGAAACATTTGATTCCGGATGGAGGCTTCTCCCCGGAATCCAAATACTAGCTCCATCTCGGTAATTCAATTCCGGGTAATTCCGGAATTCGATTCCGGATTTTAGGTGGACCCATGCTTTTTTTTATTCCTTATATGTTAGTAAACGTCGGAATCCTTCCAAAGGAGTGCAATTCCGTTTCCCCCTACTCCTCCCCCGCTTGGTAAACACGCCATAATAGTTTTAATATATCAGTGTCTGGTCTTAGAAAATATGGAGCCATCACGAAGAATAACAAACATCATTTTCCTCAAGCATATTCCAGATGTGACCCAACGATTATTGGGCCGAGTTTTACTAGGAAAGCTGCTTACTTGGTGTATTATGATGTATCCAAAGGAATTCGAGTACAATAATAACAACAATACTTGGCTACTCAAAGATAAGTAGAAACTCCTACTTAAAATTTTTAGTGTTTTAATCGCGGAACTTTGTGCTTATGATCAGAACCATTCATATTATGAATCACATTGTAAAGATCATCTCTACAAAAAATAAATTAAAACTAAGATCGTTTAGTCAGTCTATTGTAGCAAATACATAGACGGTTCATAATGCCTTTACCAATACTGTTCATTTGTTTGTAAATAGTTTGATGACTAAACGATCTTAATTTTAATTGATTTTTTGCAGATGCGATCTTTATATGGTGATTTATAATAATAACAGTTTTAATTATAAACATGAAGTTTTATAAATTGACAACGAACAATTTTAAGAAATTTTGAGTAAAAATTTCTACTCATCTTTGAATAGCCAATTATTGTCCTTATAATAATGGCAAAAGCGTGATACAAGGATTGTATGTTTACTTATACTGTTTACAAAAATTATTTAAAATTATTTTACTGCTTACATTGGGAGGGGCATCCACTCACGCTTCTGCATGGAGGATTCACTATGCACCAAATAATTTTCAATGAAGAAAAGTATTTGGTTGATGCTCTTAAAGGAATCAAACGGGTTAGAAGATTCCCGCCGATTATGAAAGACATTAAAAAATCGTTTGGATATACTTTTAAAATGATTGAAAGCGTTTACGATGAAAATAGTTTTAGAACTAATCTTTAGTAAAGATGCATGTAAATCCTAGGAAAACACTTAAAGTGCTCTCTGAAAGAAGCACATAACTGATATTTCTTGCAAAAAGCACTTTAAGTGCTTTTGGAACCCAAAAAAATTTCTCTAAAAACGTTTTTAATCATTTTAAAAGTACATCTAAACAAGCCTTAAATAATTAGAACTCAAATTCTATCCTTGCAGTATAAATGAGAGAAAGATAGCTACTGTTTGTGTGATTAAAGGTTCGGGGCAGTCATCACAGTTCTTCGATATTAAAAGAGAGTATTTAAACTAAAAATTATATCCTTCATATTGTTGGAATAACCTGCTAACATTGCCCGCCAAAATGGAAGAAAATCACGTGTTAAGACAATTTACTTCCTTGTGTATCTTCTTCTTAAAGATGAATAAAGCTGAAAATTAAACAGTTGAAGTTAATCTAATGGCTAAAAACATGTGTAAAAATATGTGTTAAAGACTTTGTTCTTGATCCTAACCCTATATAATATCTCTAAAAACCTACGTCGATGAAAATTTCAAAGCTGCTTAGCTTTCCAATACTCCATGGATTGCACAAATTCTTCCTATGAGCAAAGTCATTGGTTGATCACTTATATCGACTGTCCATGCCTACCTGATGAAATTTTAAAAGACGACAAAGAAAACTGTGAATACTAGACTTTTATGTTTGGTTTTTCTTATCAAATCTTGTAAATGGTACCACACGTGCTCTAGTTAGATTTAGGGGTTCAAGGGCTCATTTTCTCTATGGGATTATACTGCTGGAAACTGTCGGGCCATCACTTCAAGGGGTTGTTCATGCATATGCATTTCACGCTTAAATTCATACTGCTTTTTGTTTGGTGATGTTGTTTGGTTAGAATTACTCTATGTTGTCCAACTAGCTGGGCAAGCAATTTAAGACAATCCACATGGGCTGACTGACAACTTTTATCCGAAATTAAATTTTCAGCCTTTGATATGCACAGATTATTCTTTGTAATGACAAGTGTCCCTTGTCCTTGTTGCTGAAAATAAACATCCCATTTTTGCTAAAAACCTAGCTACTCTCATTTTGCTTTTTGGTTAGGAAATTTATATATTTTCTAGAGAGTGCTTTTATAGCCTTGGGGAGTACGTCTTGTGTTCATCATCAGGAACCCTAGGCACGAAACCATCTTTATTCATTAAATACTCAATCATTGCAGAATAGGGTTGTATTATCTTCACAGTTTTAGATTAAATTCGTGGTCAAGTTCTTTAGTTTCAAATCTATCTATTGGCACGGTTTTTTATTCTCGTCAGTTTCTTCTTTCCATTGTTTGATTGGAGAAATTGACTGATCATTGAATCCAGATTTTCATATTTTCATCATAACATCATTTGCATTGATTGATTTGGTTTCGGTGCCACTTGGAGAAAAGTTCAAGGTAGGAGCTACCTTCTCATGAAGATCGAAGGGATTCTCATCTCGTGCAAAGTAAGGTTGCACAAAGGTAAAACTACTCTGTAGGACCATAAATTAGGTATAGGAATTGAGTTGTGCGTGGTACTTTGTAAGAACCTTTATTTGTACTAGTGGATTGGACGCAGTGGAGAGTCCTCGATTTTTTTAACCAAGAGGTGGGTTTTTTCGGCCAAAAACTTCATGTATTGCAAATGGGGTAGGAGGTCAAAACCAACAAAGCCCCCGAGTTAAGCCGATTAGAATTCCTACAGATATTGTATTTTACACCCTAAACCGATGAAATTGTCCATCTTCCGATCAAGCTAATTCAACCTATATTAGTTTGTATATAATCTAAAGCGGAAAATTTACAGGCTCAAACCAAATTGTCTCGGCGCTTTCAAACACGATAACAAAAAACAGGCAACTATTAGAGCTCCCCTTTGCTAAAGGTCCGTAAGCTTAAGGATCTTCAGGTTCTTCATCCTTGTCTTCCGCATTGTCCCACCACCTAAGAGGGCCAAGACCATCATAATCAATTGATCCCTGCAAAATACGAAACTTTAATTGGCGGCTCATAGAATTCACCGCAATCTGCTTGCCAAAAGAGAACACCCAACTTAATTTAAACAAAGATTTAGAGCGACGAGACAATGAAACTAGAGTTACTCTATACTTGGTAATTAAATGGCCCGACCCCAAGCCAACAAGACTCTCTGCTTTGCGAGGGTCGGGGGATGAACATCTATTGTACGTAGCCTTACCCTTGTTTTGCAAAGAGGCTGTTTCCCATGACCTTTTGGTCACAAAGGCAACCTTTCCATTGCGCCAAGCCCTCATACATAGTAATTATCACATTTTATTAACGAAATGAAAAGTCCCACAAAGCTAGTTCATTGCCCTTGGAAAATTGTAAACAGAGATCAAGTGATGCTACAGCTAGATGCACAAACAGTCATGATAAGGTTCAATGCATAAACTTACAGTAATCACCATAGGAGCAAATGGTTTCGCATCTTCCGGCTGCTCAATTGGAATTGGTGGATAGGTCACACTTTGAACTTGGAATCTTATCTGCTATTCGAAACTAAAAGTTAGCATGCATGTAGGCTCCAGAAACTTGTATAGCTATAGATAAATCAAATCCTAACAATATGCACCTCATCCGTCCACTCAACAGCAAGATCATCTGCATCAGGACATTTCCATATCCAAATGACGTTGTTCCTGTATTCCTCAGTAATATCAAAACCACATATGCAACGGTATTTCAAACAATGAACCAATAAACAAGAATCCATCAATGCAGACATGGAAAGGACGATCACCTCTTTTCTGGGTCAGGCTCGGAGCAGGATGGAGATGGCAAAAGATGTACTGGTACATAAATATCATCAAAAAATCCAAGCGACACTGCCAATTAAAGATTGAAAATTAGAATACGGACAAGAAATAGGAGTTGTCAATGTATTGCTACGCTATGGTGCATTTGTAGTAAGAATTACTTGCACAAAGACAACCTAAGAAGGAAAACATTAATTGGAACCCAAGAACAGACTACAGTCAGTTCATATCATTAGAATACATACAGCGTAAACCATTTGCAGTAGATTCTTTAAGTTTTGCAGAAATTATCTCTCCCACAAATGGACGAAACATAATTAGTGTGAACTCCACCTGCAAATTAATAGGACATGATTGTCAACTTGTTGTATGAATTGGGAGTCTGAAAACACAACATGCTAAGGGTTGAAAAAGAAAAAAGGTAAGGAAAACAACAAATTAGAAATGAAGAAGAGGAAGAAGAAGAATAGCACTGTTAGCGCAGATAACTGGCCGTCACATACTGAGCAATTGAAAATGAAATAAATTGAGGTATTTCAAAATGAATAACGAACGTAACACGAACACGAAAAATAAAACCGAAGGAGTAAAGCAATTTGGCTTCAATTATAAGGACTAAATCAACCTAAACGCGAATATAACAGATTTGTATTCAAGAAGACAAAACAAGGTTAGAATATATACCCTAAAAGTTGGATGACCATCATTAGGTAGGATAAATCCATCTTTAATGGATTGAATACTGTGGACAGAAATGCAGAGCCCCAATTTGGCAATAACCTACATTCAAAGATTAGCGCAGTTAAAGAAGGCTCAACACTTTGAGTAAGAAACAAGGGCTCTATTCAAAATACAAATTAAGAAACAATATAGAGAAGGCCATAAACCTTATCTAGGAAAATCTTCTCGAGCTCTCCCTTAACCGCATCTTCTAGACGAAGGCTGAGCAGATGAGGTGGAAGACGGAGCGTGTGCTCAATTCGGCTGAGGTAGAACATCTGGGGTGCTCTACACAATTTCTATTCCAGAACCAAGTATGTAATTAACAAATTTTAGTTTGATTTTTCATGGACTAAAAGAAGATTCACAAATAGCTAGGTTTTCATAGTGGTATGCGAGTACTAATTCAAATTTCGAATTCACAGGATTTGTGCAGACAATTCTTTTTTTTTTTTTCTTTTTTTTTTTAAAAAAAGAAAACAAAGAAAAAAACTAACCAAGCAACATGCAATTGGTATGCAAATGTAATTCTTACTTAGTGTTTTCAAAAGTGCAGCCCAACTGTTTGTTGGACTGCTCCAACGATGTAAGGTTTTCTGCCGATAGGCAGCAAACCCAATTCAGTAACTCTAAGATTAGGAGGACACAAATGTAAAAAATCTTGCAGCGCTAGGGGTGGTTGGGATGGTGTGTTGAGGGATGGAGGGCTCGTTTGGTGGGCCGGATGGGATTGGACTTGGTGTTTAGGATGGTTAGGATTGGATTGGCTAGGATGGCACTCTTGTCAAGTGTTTCGTGCAGACAACTAACTTGGTCTGGTTATGAATTAATGTACTTGTAAATAAATCCAAATTACACAATTCAAGAACACTGTCTGCAGACAGATGCGGATTGGTGGTACTGAGATACGACCCCGCAATGCTGGTTTTTCAGAACAGCCAGACATTGTTGCTGAACTAGTGCATTACGTTTTAGTTTCAAAGAAGCTCCAAGGAGACAGTTAGCACGGTTTGGAAGAAAATATGGATTAGAATGGAGGCGGAGAGATTGAGATGGGTTCATAAATAGTTGCTAGGTTGGCAGGATGTTATCTGAACGGTGCTCATCCTCGGAAAAATAACCTTCGGAGAAGGAGGCCGAGAGATCGTTGATGCACAGGTGATGCCAATATATGGTATATGTAAACAATTAAGTTATAATTAATATGCATGGTGCATGGAGAAACCTTGATGCTCATTATCATTGGGCCAGTTATTAGTTTCTTTTTATGGTCACCTAGATGGGCATAAGAATTGCTTAATATGATGATAATGTGAAGTTGCTCTTATAAGATAGGAAATTGTCTCCAGTTTCATTCTTTCATCCCTTTAAAACTATGCTTATTTGACACAGATTCAACATTGCAACGGAACTCAAAGAACGCTGCAAAAGTGAAGGGGAGTTCGGGCTTGTTGATATATTGGTATGGTTGAGGTTCATGTTATGCAGGCATCTAACATTGAACAAGAATTACAATGCGAAACCTTGGTAATCTCCATTCTGTAGCTTTAATAAATTATTTTGCTGATGAAAAGTTGACTCCACATGGGCTTTTGTTATTGTCCAATGTCAAATTATTTTTAGGGATGTGATATCCACACACCCATTTTTACTTCTCCCACACCTTTTTTGTTTTCGGCCGTCGGATCGAATGAATTGAAGAAGATCAACGAACAGGAATTAACAAGGGGTGTGTGAGAAGTAAAAAGGGGTGTGTGGATAGCACACCCCTTATTTTTATTTTCTCTACGCAGTAGTTATAAAGGACTTTCTGGCCCACAGTTGGCATTTTAAGCGTTTGGTTATCTGAATACTTATTATTGCATCTGTTTCCATCAGTATGAATGATCCATCTGCACTTATTGTACTAAGAAGGGACCTGACAAAGCCTTCTCTATTTGGTTTCAGTTTTCCTCTTATATCTGCAGTGAAATTAGTGAAGCTCAGGATAGGTTTACCAATCTGCTACAAAGAATATATTTAAACCAGCCTAGTGATTGGGAAATTGTGAGATTACTAACGACACCTGTTGTTCATGGAGGTCAGGGAGACGTTGGGCAAAGAATTAGAGATGAAATACTTGTGATTCAGGTATTTAAAATTTATTTGGAGCACATAAATGTGTATGTGTGTGTGTGTGTGTGTGTAGTTCATATTGCATCACCTCTGAGTATAATGTGCACATTTTCAACCATCAGAGAAATAATGACTGTAAGGGTGCCATGATGGAGGAATGGCACCAAAAGTTGCACAATAATAGTAGCCCAGATGATGTGATAATTTGTGAGGTATGGTAATTTATCGATTTTTTGTTTTCTTTAGTGCAGTATCATACCCAGAGCGGATTGGGCATCAACATGGTTTTAGGTTATTGGATATTGGTTCAACTGGTGTGGCATGTAGTGTTTTATGTAACGAAAAATGCTCAAATATTCATCGGTTTCACATGATATATTCTTCCCGTTTTGTAACAGGCGTTCTTAAATTTCATCAAGTCTGGTTTTAGAGTTGATGTTTATTGGAAAACATTGAATGCAAATGGTCTCACAAAAGAGAAGCTTGCAAGTTATGACCGCCCAATTGTGTCATAGCCGCATTTCAGGGCTGATACTAAGGAGGGACTCACCCGTGACCTCACAGCATACTTGAAGACATTAAAGGTAAGAATGCAATCTAAACAGGAGCAATCATATTTTACTGATGCTGTCTAGCTGACTTTCGGTTGACATTTGTTAGTACTAAGTACGGAATTAGGAGGAAGTTTATCATCCAATATGCATGTTATATAGGTACGGGTCTATTGTGTGCTACAGATATAGGAAAAGTGCACACATACCGAGAAAAGGGTTTTCTTCTTAGTAAACTGAAATGCCTATTCTTAAAGATGTGAATTCATGAACCTTCTACAATAAATTGTACTTTATAAGTAAAATTTTACTTAAATGGTGATCTCAAGGCTTTGGTATAAGGCTGACCCAGGAAGTGGTATGTTGCCGTACAAGTTTGGCGTGTGGGATTCCCAAAATTTAGTCTCAAAATGAAAGAAAGTAGAGCAGATAGATGAAATGAAAAAATAATATGTTTGATTACAGTCTCCTTGAGTATTGACTTTCATGGCATTTTGTTTTATGATGGAATGCAATGGATAGCTCCTTATAATGTTGGCGCTCTTCAAATTAACTACATCTGAAGTTTTCTTTAACTTTTAGTTGCTGTTACATTTCATTCCTCTAACAGATTAACTATAGGAGAATGCTTATGTGTTTTCGACTTCTTATTCCTATTATCACCATGCCCACAGGCTATTCATTCAGGTGCTGACCTTGAATCAGCTATTGAAGTTTCGGTGCCCTCAAATGAGGTAAGATCACTGACTATCGAACGTCCCTTTCATCGCTATTAAATGTTTGTTCTTTTGGCTAATAAGTGTACACCTTTTCTGTTTTGATCGTCAGAGTCGTAATTTCTCAAGCATGGTTGGAGTTAATTATGTTTGTGATCTGTCACCTAGGTTGCAGGTAACTTAATTGTTGTATTTGAAGTCAACTTATGCATTGAAATTTTTAATGTGATACAACTGGTTTTCCTATGTGACTGCTATCAAATAACAGGAGTGCCTGAACTTTGTCAAAGCACATGTTGGTGATGAAGATATTGTTCCACTAATGGAGGTCATTCTGTACTACAAACTTTCAAATTTTGATGTCTTATATTGGAATATCATTGTGAAGTTTGGATTTGTGTTTTCAGAAGAAACTAGAATCTCGAATTGAGCTATGCCCTGTTCTAATCACCGTATGAATTTGTCGAAAAATACGAAAACTAATTGCAGAACCGGATAGTATAGCCCAATTACATATTAATCAGAAACAATGCAACAAAACCAATTAAACACCAAATAAACTCTGGATTGTGACGAAAATCGCAAAGGGTCGTAAAAATTTAGGGGAAAAGGTGGCTTTTATGGGTTCTAAAAATCCAACCAAAAAATTGGAAACACATGAATTCACCAGAAAGCAAACAAATTTATTGAAAAAAAATTGAAGATTTTCAGATTACAATCCAAAAAGAAAGAATAATCATAGAGCAAAGTTATGACATTAATCTCCATGAACACAGAAAGCTGATAGGAGGATATCATACCTTGCTGCGTCGAGCTGTAAACTGTAATTGTAAATTGTGATGGAGGAGGAGGAACACAAAAGAGGGCGAGGTCACTGCCTCCTTCCTTCCCGACCCTTCTTCTTCTTCTGAAGCTTTTCGGGTAGCAGTTTGGATAATACGCGGGTTTAAGGGTTTTAGCATCTACGCCGCTCCTTATAACTTTCAAATCAGCGGTCCGTTGAGATGTGAGTATAAAAAATCAAAGAAACTAATGAAAAATGATTGAAAATTGTGAGTTTCAACGATAAGGATAAAATAAAGGATAAAGTGAATAATATCATGATTAACTTTTTAGTGTAAAAATATGGTTTTTCGTTAAAATGAACAGTGCCGAGAGCTTTTCGTTAAAGTTCCCAAAAATCAATTGACCTAATTTTCTCTAAATAAAACAAATTTAGTGACAGAATAGTTATTCAGAAATAGTTAATAAAGTTGTAAATTTTTTTTTAGACAAAAAATCATTTGAAGGCGTCACTAAAAATCCTTCGTGACCATTTTTATATTTTCTCTTTGTAAATTTTAGGATTAAGTACAAAAAATTCTTCAAAGCTCAGTGTCATTCCAAATTAGTCTTAAATCTTTTTAAACATTCCAATAAGTACCTAAGCTATTAAAAATATCACATTCATTAAGCCAGATAAATTTCTGTTAAATAACTAGGGCATACTTCATCTATAAAATCAATAGAAGGTCATAGAAACATGACTTTCACTAACTAACAATCATAGAGACTGCTAAAATGGTATGGACACCATCTTCACCAGTCACAAAAAAGAACTAGAAGCTAAAACAGTTGGCAGGTTTTGAATATAAAGGTTGGGACGAGGTTTTGATGGTCATAGGTTAAGCTTGAAGGTGGCAGGGTTTGATATTTTCCGATCTTCATTTTTGTTTTCCATTTTATTTGTGAATTTATTTATTTATTTTCATTATTCATCTTCATTTTTTTTAAGTTAATTTAATTAGTATTTTAGTGTCCAAGTAAGCTAAAAGGTAGGACTCATTGTTAGCAATACATTTACCGAAAAATTCAACTAGGGATTAACAGATGTAACATTTTCAATAAGTTAGGTACTTATTTAGAATGTTTAAAAATGTTGAAACCAATTTGAAATGATACTACAAGGTTGAAGAGTTTTAGTTACTTAATCCTAAGTTTTACTTTTCAATGTTTTAATAGGCATTCAGTCGCTAGAAGCAAACGGCACCGTATCGGCCAATAGAATTCAAATTTCAAGTGCGGAAGCGGCACCCGAAAGAAATGGCGAAATCAAAAACGAGCAGAAGCAACTGCAAGAGCAGAAAGACCAGTCCAACTGGGAATGCGATGATTCCGATTAGTTTCTCCGAGTTGGAAATGAACACGGCTTCTGGTAAGCTAGCAGCAGCAGCAGAACCACCACCACCACCCCCACCACCAGCGGCGTAAGCTATAACAATCCCCGGATACCTGGCTAACTGATGAACCCACTCTCCATTGCACTAAACAAATATAACGATGAGAATAAAATGCAGCAAAACTAGGGATTGACAAAAAATGACATGACATGATGTTGTGAACTTGTTTGTGCACAACTTTGGGGACCAACTAAGGTTAAATCCAAATGACACACAGCCTAGTGAAAAATATAACCGATAGAAAAATAACGTGCGTAAAAGTGCCGTCCACATGTATAAAACCTGAAATCCTGAAATTATTTACTCCACTAAATCATGGTCTAAGTTAGCAGCTGACCAAAAGGACAACTCACAGCTTCAGGAACTTGGTAAACTACTTCAATGCTCAAGATGGAATACATATTCTGTCAAGCTCTGCAATGTACTCGCATCCAGTTTCTGCTCCGTGATGATAGGGTGCTTCTTCACAGTAACCATTTGTGAAGCAGGGTCCACAACCCAACCTTGCTGTAGTACATCTGCGAACGACAACCATATCCCAGGAGTTTGAAACAAATGATGACGGGCCTATAAGTATGCAATTAAAAAACAAGTCCTAGCATATATTACTATTTACGATACAAGGAGTCGTCATCAAAGACTTGGAAACTTTTTCAAGCAAAAACAACTGTTTTCGAAGTGAAAATAAGAAAATCAACGGAAAAATGTAGTAAATAAGGGTTCCTCCTAAATTTCTTCTACAAACTTGCAACAAAATTCTCATAGGCAGGACCTTTTTTTCTTCCAACTTAATTTACCCATTCGTATACACCTTTTGTTCAGTGATTCGACCAAAAAATGCTACTCTTACCACATTCGTACCACTGCTCTTATAAAGATGGGACCCACATGTGTTGGTGGGCCCTACTTGTATTAGAGAGGTGGAACAGCTGTGGTATGAAAATTGGTAAGTGTATCATTAGTCGACATTCAACTGGTTTTTGATTCTTTATATCCTTTTACGTTTGTAAATCTCAACACATAATCCTCCCACACTCTTTAAAGCAGCAGAGCCTTTTTTTCTTCCAGAAAACCTACTTATTCAGGATTAACAGACTTCAAAAAGGCTCATACCTCCAAAGCTGTTAAATGGTTACTTTCCCAAAGATCACTGAAAAGCAATGATAAATGTATATCTTTTCTGATAGGAAAGCATTAAGATTTTAATTTCATTTTTTCGAAAAGGAAAATTAACCCTGCGGAATTTGGTAACAGATGAATTTGTGAAAACAGAAGCTTACAAGTTGTGACATCATCCTCACTCATTCCCAAGAAGAGAGCTGTGTCTTGGATGCTTATTGTAGAATAAGCAGACTGCAGGAGCTGAAACATTTTCTTTGTGTAAAGATCTGCATGAAGTTAAGAAGACGATTAATGATGACCTTACTAAACATAAGAATTAGTACTCTAAAAGCTCCGTTAAACACCAGAAAATAATGAAAGGAATCATTCGAGTGTTGACCGTTCAAAAGTACTCTACTCTCATCAGAATCAACCATAATTAAAGCCAATTACAAATGACACCTTACCAGCACAGCAATTTAAGTTTATGAAGGATGTGATCACAACAAACTTCGACAAATTGTTCAGCATTCTTCGACTATTGAACAATATCACTCTTCTTTTGAACGGATATATTTTTCGTAAATCTTCAAATTGAAGTATCACACGCGCACAAAACATAAAGAATACAATTTTTGATCTAGTAAAACTTGCCTGAGAAGGCTGCAACAAGACCTTCAGCATCCTGACTCCATTCATATCCACGAATAGCTTCATACACACCCCCGTAGTCCCGCACCCACAACTTCTGACCAATTTTCCAAGCAGCGATGACTTCTGGATTGCTCTCTTTGACTGCGACAGGCATCGATTTCCAAAGAAACCGCACACTATTACTGCATCATCATCACCCAACAGATTAAATTCCAAATAACAGAAAACCAACAACAAAGACAACAAACTCAGATTTAAGTCAGGATTCACCCCAAATGACCAAACAACATTAATAGTAAAACGCGGAATCGTAAAACAACAAGTAATCAAAACCCAGAATACAAAAAGCATTGATACCATGAAACCATCATCAGAATACCAAGATACAGCAGATTGAGCTAAAATAGAACAAATTCATAAATAAATAAAACATAACTTCAAGTACAATTTATTAGCTTCCAACGAATTATGTTATTTTTTCTACTTAAACTCATCAACATGAACAGATTCAAAAGGCAGAAAAAAAAAACGAAAATTATGAAAATTAAAATCATACATATCACCAGCGTATATGAGAGCGAGAAGATGAATGGCGTAGGGCCATTCTTCCTGAAAAGAAACGCCCTCCGCTGCGACCTGTGCAATGAGAGAGAGAGATAGAGAGAGAGAGAGAGTGAGTGAGTGAGAAAACAAACGAAAGTTTTGAAATTTGAATGGATTGAAAGCGAAATGGAACCTGAAGCATGAGTTGGTCGCAGATATCGGCGAGCTTTCCATAGGATTTGGAGGCCAAGGCGTCTGAAAGGGGAGAGAAATCCATGGCTGCTTTCTCTGCTATACGATTCCGAAGGAGAAGGACCTCTCTGTATGCTAAACCCAGATAGTCAGAGGGGGAAGAGGAAAACCCACCCGCGTTCCGCCCAAACAAAATAATAATAATAATAATAATAAAGGAAAAGCCAACCTCGGCCTTGGGCTGGTTTGGGTTGAATTGGGCTGGGTTGTAACCCAATAAAACTTTGTATTTTCGAAACCAGTTTCCACTCTATCAGATTTTGGTGTAATTTGATCAATTAACTTTATTTTGTATTAGATTTACTTCTTCTTCTTCTTTTTTTTCTCAAAAGAGGGATAACTGATGACAAGTTACAGTTATCCACCTCTTCCGGGAGCCAGAAGGCTCACATAGGCATTTCAACCTCCCCCTGACCACAAGTCTGGTTTCCCCACCAGCAGCAGGTTTCAAATCCGAGACCTCCAGTTTGTACATAGATTGGTTTAACTCATTTTGTTTTATCATTTTAACTTATTATTTTGATGTCTTAATTTATTTATACTTTCTATATTTTTAATTTATTTTATTTTGTATTGTCGTAGGAGAATGGTGCTAACACTAAATAACCATTGTGAGGGTAACGCTATGAATCATATGTGACGCTCTTTTTTCTATCACGAAGTTTTGTCCTATATAGTTTCTTTTTATTGAAGCCCACTTGCTTTTAGTTTTTAATTCCTCGATGATACTTTTCAGGCAACGTATTTTTTTGTAAGATGCAATTTTTGTTCCCAATATTCACGTAGGGTTTTCGAGCAGCGTATCTTATGGTGTCATCTTTTTTGCACGTTTATTTGGTCACTCTCTTTGGAAGAAATTTTGTGCATCCACAGTAGCCATCATTTCAGCTTATAGTTCGGTGAACTTTTTTACATGTTTGTGTGAAGTTTGATGAGGGGTGTAATACGGCTACCATATGGTGATTAGAGACTTCTTGAATGCGAACCCAAAAACTAAAAACACAAAGTAGACATAATGCGCGAGAAAATTAGCCAATAGGACGTAAAGGGTGGTATCCACAAACTCATTTGTACCTCTCACACACCCTGCTCAACTTCTTGTCGTCGAATCGAATAAACCAAAAAAAAAAAAGCAATGGACAAAAATTTAAAAGGTGAGGTTAAAAAAGTGTATGAATAGCACTACCGGGCAGAAAATGCATTACAAATGCGCTAGTTTTTACACTTTACGCGCGGTTGTTGTTAGTAGCTTTAATTTAATTACCCTCCAAAAACTCCAAGTCATGAAAAACCAACGCCTAAAAATTGGGCAAAATCTTTGATAGAGAACCCTTTTCCTTCCTCTTTTGCTATTAAACTCTCTACTACTTCCCCTTTCACTTGGGGGAGCGGGGGCTTTCTTTGTTTTTACCCCTCCTCTTTACTTTTTACCTTCTTTTTTTCATTTCTCTCCCAATTTGAAGAGTGAAAATCACAAGGGAAACAAAATTAAGCGACTCGAAAGTTACCGACGTGAAAGTTAAGTGAGCGGAGGGAGGAGTGTTTACACACTCAATCCATCAAATCCACACTGCTTGTATGTGAGAGACTGCTTCCTTGGACTTATGACAATTGCACAATCCACGGACACCTGCATTTCCCCACCATCAACACACACTTTCAGCCTTACCTCCAACCAAAATAATAGTGAACAAAAAAGGACAACAAAAACATACATAAGAAGAAAAGCATAACAAGTAAGTCCCGAGTCCTGAGTCCCTCGATTCAATCGTTGATTGCATTGAGTTCATCGGAATCAATCAACACTTAAATGCGTTAATTTCACCATACAAATAGCGTGACCAGTAACCAACCTTAGTCTACGACATCACGTGACGTGGGACTTTAGACTAAATATAAAATAAATAAAACAAAGGTCGTGTGAACTCTCAGGTTGGGTTGGAGCACGAGGGCATGTTAAGATTTCTTCGTGCCTAAGTTTTGGTGCTTAATGGCACGACACAGCCAGAGAGACGCACATTGTAGTAGTGTTACTAGTGATATGTAAAGGCATTTAATTCTTTCTTTGTATACCTAAGACCACGACCGAAAAATAGGGAAGGGAAGAATCCATGAGGAAGGTATCCAACCTGGCACCTAGTTTTTAGCACCTATAAAAATCATAACTTCATTTTATTACTAAAAAGAGGATTAGTTGGTGGCCAGGCGACGACAATTCATCCTTCCAAGACAAAAAAACTCATTGAAGCATTTCAGCATTTTCTTAACCACTATCATTTGATTCAGCAGAACTAAAAATCGAACTCAGAATGAGCAGTGTGAAATACCGGCATGAAATTTGCCTCTAACTAGGCCACCCGTGGTGGTTTACAAAAATCATAACGAAAAAAAACAATAATTAGCAGACCCCACCACCGAAATTCCCCACAAAAGTTTTTCAATTTTTAATATATAGATAATTCTAGATTTATGTTCTACATCACCTCTCCAAGTTGTCCTAATGCAGCACAAACATATGGGCCCACCCACAAGGCCCACCCAAAGCCCTACTCACATGGCGGGCCCGGAAAGCTTTTTACTACCCCGGGAAAGGGCAAATTAGTTTAGTCCCTACCTTAACTATTTTTGCTTGCTTTCTTTCTTCTGTTCTAAGTTTTTGTTCCTATAAGCATAAAAGTAATTTTCGTACGCTCGTTCTCATACACGTAACTGAAGTACCCAAATATGATACGAAGAATTACCCAAAATACATAAATGTAGTGAAAAATAAAGGGTAACAAATATTTTTGAGACAGTAAAGGTTTTAAGGCAAAAGACTCAAACGCCAGCGAACAAAATGGTTCCATGGTGTAGTGGTTAGCACTCTGGACTTTGAATCCAGCGACCTGGGTTCGACTCCCGGTGGGACCTCAATTGAGAGTTATTTTTATTTTTATTTTTTACTTTTTAAATTCTTCTGTTTGACAAGAAGTAATTTGAACAAATGGCACAAATATAAAAATGGACACCGGCCCAAATATCCAGGAACATGCTCACTCAATCCAAAAACCAGATGGCACGCCTAATTCTAAGTTGCAACCACATGGACGCATTGACAATTTTCACATTAATATTTTTTCTGACCACCCCCCTCTCAAGCGATGGTCGCGGTGATTGTCCTCGTTAAATCATTCGTTGAGTTTAAATTTTGAGAACTGTGTAGTGAATAAACACAAATTTCAAAATTAAAACTCATCTAACAATGATAAATAACACGTTGAGCATTACTACCACTTGAGGATGGTGAGCAAAAACGACCACATTGATACTAATGCTAACAAATGGTAATTCATTAGAGAACTAAAATGAACTTGAGTGAACAAAAACAGACATTGACATGCCAACGATCCTAACTTGCATTTTTACGCCCACCACAATATATGAATATATGCTTAAATAAAATTTGAACTTGAGTACAAGAAAACAGAACCGGATCCCTTCCAGATCCAAGGAAACTGAGCCCACTAATTAATGAATTCGGATCATTAAAATTTGATCTAACGACTACAATTATTATAACTTTTAGAGAGTTCCTGTTTATAACCGTTAGATCAAATTTTAATAGTCCGGATGAATTAATTAATGGGCTCAATTCCTTTGGATTTGGAGGCATGTCGACATGACCAACGAACTTAACTCCCGTATACGTTTAAATTATGGCTAATCAAAAGTAGAAGAAAGGCTTGTTGGCATGTAGCTCTTCTATAGTTGGTGCGGCGTGAAAGGAACGCAATTACCACTACCGCTAATATCGAAAGTCAAGCTTTATTGCCATTTCTCTCTAACCTTACCTTTTCATATATCCTTTTTCTAACAAATCATCACAGAATTACTTTACCAACTTACCAATCTAACACGGAGGATAAAAATTCTGGAAACAAATTCATTCAAAAATTGCAAACAGAGTAAAATGTGATATGGAATTTTGGACCCAATCCAAGAACACAGGCAAAAGTTGAAAATGCAGAGAAATGGAAGGGCATGAATGCAAAAAACGAAAAGAAAATCCGTTTCCGAATACAAAACCTATATGGGTCTGCAAGCATAATATCATCAACTTATAGTGGGTTTCTGTGATTTTCTTAGTAGCCAAACAGAATTTAAGGGAAAATTGGGAAGTGGGTTTTAATCTAGGAAGCAAAATTGCATTTGAGTAGTGAGAAAATTTTAAATTGGGTGAGAGATTACTGACCTGAACGCCAGGGGAATCGAAGTTCAAGACGCGGATCTTGGCGCCAACGTCACCCAGGACCCTGAGCTCGACTCGGTCGTTGAGGGAAGCGTCTCGGACTAAATCGGCGGCGTCGGCTTGGAGCAAATTGACCCGATCGACGGCGATGGTGGCGACGACTTGGCGGACAGTGTGGGCGTCCTGGTAGAAGCCGGGGATGGAGGCCTTGCCCAATGGGATCCCGCGGTACATGACAGTGAACCTGGACTCGCCGTACTTGATCCCGACCTTGTTGGGGTTAGCAGCGGAGAAGAGCATGCGAATGTTGAGGGAGAGTGAGGCGGAGGTAGGGTTTTGGTTGGGGTCGGCGGTTGCGGTGGGATTGGGCGAGTTGATGCCCATGTACTGGACGCCGACTTGCTGGAGATCAAACTGCGGCTTCTTCGGCTTGACGGCGAGGATGATGACGAGGACGACGGCGAGGACGAGGAGGGCTAGGAAGGAGAAGAGTAAGAAAAGGCAGCAGCAGCAGCCCTTGAAGGAAGCGGAAGAGGAGGAGGAGTATGACGACCTCGTCGGGTAGTAGCGGTGGTGGTTGCTGCTGCTGTGGGGGTTTGAGGAGGAGGACGACGGCGGCGGTGGGACGCGGGTTCTGTGGTCTCCGTTTGCGGTTGCGTTTCCGTTTGGGGTTGGGTTGTCTCTTGATGTCATTTTATTTTTGGGTTGCTTGCTTATTCACTCACACACACACTCTCTCTGTCCTCTGAGTGAGTGTGGAAGTGGCCTCCGTTTCTTCTTTCTTCTTCAGTGTCCGTTGCTTGATATTGAAGAGAGAGGAGAGAGGGGGAGGAGAGAGAGAGAGCCGCTTTCGGTGACTTTGCTTGAGAGAGAGATAAAAAGAGCCTGTAATAATATTTATACCATATTTCTATATGATCCTAGATGGTATATGAGACAACTATTTTATTTGAAAAATTAGCAAAATTCAAGAAAAAGAAAAATAAATACTCTCGTATATCACAATCATCATTTAATTAACTAGTTTATCTTAATCATTAATTTATTAAATAATGAACTAAATTTAAAAATATAATTAATTCAAATGATGTGACTGTTCACATCAAATACTACCTAAACTGATATGAAAATATGGTACAAAAACATGATATGAATAGGGAAATTTTATTTGAACCTATGTAATCTCTTTCTACATCCAAGTTAAATTTAAATTGTTAATTGTCTATTTTACCCTATTGCATAATTATTATTAAGTACAAAATAAAATTAATAATAAAACTCAAATTTATTAATAAACCC